GGGCACTCAAAACCGAGCTGGACAAGTGGAAGGCATCTTTCGGGACGAAGGATGAGGAGCTCAAGGCCTGCCTGGCGCGCGTCGAGAACGTACAGAAGGAGGTCACCGAGCGGATGAAGGCGAGTAAGAGGAAGGTTGCCGAGGGCGAGGCCGCAGATGCGCCGCCGCCGCCGCCAGGCCCAGGCCAGCAGCCTGCGGGCCAGAGCGGAGGTGGTAGCGACGGAGGCGGCGGCAGCGGCACTGGTGGCGCAGCAGCCCACGAGGCAAGCGCCGATGGGCTGCAGCGCGAGGCGGCCCGCATCTCCGAGACGCGCTTCAAGGCGGCAACGGCAGCGGCAGCAGGTGGCAAGGACCACGGCAAGGACGACGGCGGCAAGGGCGGCAAGGCAACCCAGGCGGCCAAGCCTGGCGCAGCCAGCGGCGCCGCTGCGGGTTCCGCAGGCGCCCCGCCAGGTGCTGCGGCGGCCGCTGCGGCTGCTGGCTCGTGACTAGGGTCAGCAAGCACCGACGGGACTGCGGTGAATCAGTCTCAAGAATAAGTTTCTTTGCCAGTGACCAGCAAGCTTTTCTTCAGCAGTGTGACATGCCTAGGCGAGAAGGCGTGGCAGTATGTGATCCATGATGTCGCCATTGATCACGACTACATATGGGCTATGTGAATCACACATAGGACGTGCTGCTACGTCGGCTTGGGCGTCGGCGGCTAGGAAGCAGTCTTTCAAGTCTTTTTTCAACCCAGCTCGGCCCAAATGCAGACTGGCGGCGCTCAAACCTGGGGGTGAGGGCTACGCCAATGAAGAAGGCGAGCTGATTCTAGTGAAGAATCATCGCGCTGCCCAGCTGTTAGACGAAGCCAGGTTCAGCAACAAGCTTAAAGACAGCAAGGGGGGGGCAACAATTTTGTCGGTTTTGTGCCTTGTGTGTTTCACACGCGAGGATTCTCAATCGCAGTTTTTTGTGTTCTACGGATTGTCTGGCATAGGAATGTACAATGATAATGTTAATAGATTCAGGAGGCCCGGCAGTATTCTCAGAGCGATCCAACTGCCTAGGCTTGTAGTGGTAGGCTGGAATTTCAGACCCAGTCAGCTCAGGAAGACTGTTTTTTTGGACAGAATTGATGGTGAGGTTATGTGTGCTGACGTCCCTTTCACATGCACGCCTGGAGGAGGAAAAACGCATGCCGATCTCGATTATATGGTCGTCAGTCGTGCTGCTCGGCCGTATGTAAGGAATGTGCAGGCGCGAGTCGATGTGCCCTGGAGGCCGCATATCGGGCTCAGCGTCGAGCTCGTCTCTGAAGGGTCCCAGCTCCTCACTCGTTTCCTCGACCTCCCCTCTCAACTGCCTTGCGTGAGCAAACCCAGGGTGGCTCCTGTCCCTGGGTCCAAATCCAGTCTTGCTAAAGCCAAGCGAGCCCTCGACAAGCAAACAGCCAAAGAAGCTCGCAATGCCAATTTTAAGCTTCGGTTTTCCGACGGGCTCGAACTGGAGAGAGAGAGAGAGAGAGAGAGAGAGAGAAAGAAAGAGAGAGAGAGAGAGAGAGCGCGGGAAGGGCAGGGCTTCCTTGAAGATGCCGACACAAGTGTGGGAGGTGACGCGGCCTCCGAGGACACCTGTGGCGACGGCGCCGACGAGTGGGCGGACTACTCGGAGGACGACCCCCTAGGCCGCCGAGAACGGCTTCGCCCGCCCCGCCTTCTCTTGTGTTGCTCCCGATCCAGTCGAGTCCGTTCCGCCTGCCGCTCAAAGAACTGCCGAGGAAACCTTCAACCCTCGCTGCTACTCCTCCTCCTTCTCCTCCTCCTCCTCCTCCTCCGCCTCCGGGCACGGGCAGCAGCAAAAGCTTCCGAGCTTCCTCGAGTCCGTTCCGCCTGCTTGCTCCCTCAGAGTGTCAAGAACTAGGCGTCCAGCTCAAAAAAAAATGAAGGTAATTCGGCCCCGCGTGGAACAAGTAGCTCCTCCAAACCCGACAGCGCCCAGGGGTCGTCTTCCATAGGAGAGCCAGCGGTCGAAGCCAAGTGGTCCCCCGAATATTCTATTCCCGAAAGCACGTGGGTTGACCAACGGAGGAAAATTGGGTTCGTTCCTGCTGCCTCTCACCCCCCTGCTGCTGCTGTTATTGCCTCCGCGGCCTTTTCTTTTGGCTCGGGCTTTTCAGACAACGTCAGCTCGCTCTACAGCGGGTGGGTCAGAGCTGTGGAAGCCACGATTTGTACACATCATGGTCAGGTTCACTCTGGGAGATCAGGAAGCGAGGCTCACAATTTCTAGGTGTCTACGGTGCGCCAAGCACCGCCCACAGAGCTGCTTACCTTCGCGATCGAGTGGCGAACTGGTGGACTCGAGCAGGTACAATCGTTGCACCGGTTGCGAAACATCGTCGACGAAAAGGAGGTGAGCAGCAGTTACGCATACTCTACGGAGCTGCGAATCGGCTACTCGACCAAGTACCAGAACAGGTCCACCAGGTGCTGCGACATCGTGATCGCTACACTTGGCGGCAATGGCGCGAGCTCCTATCCACGCTCGAGGCCGCGGAGTTGGCGGAGCTCGACGTGGGCGCCCAGCTCATTGAGAAGGCAGCGCAGCGGAGTCAGAGGAGGGCTCTGGCTAAATCCATAGATAATTTCAGCGAATGGGCTGAGACGGTTCCTGCAGTTGGAGTCTTGCACCGCAAGCTTCGAGGGGATCCTGTTGAGGCTCGAGATCTTATCAGCGACGGGTGTGCGGTTGTTCATCCCAAAGACGTGCTGGACCACAAGCAGCACGAGTGGGCGCAGCTGTGGGCCCCACCTGAGATGGAAGTTGATGGCATGACACGGGATATACAAGCATTAGGAGAATTGCTTTCAAACATTCGGGCTCGAGTTCAAGACGAAGCGCTACCCCCGCTCACAGTTCATTCGCAAGGCACTCGGTTGCATGAAGGTCAATGGAGCTATGGGCGTGGACAGACTGAGTGTGAACGACCTCGCACGTTTGCCCGACGCAGCTCTGCAGGAGTTGCGTGTCATTTTCTCGTTGTGTGAGGAAGTGCAGTGTCTGCCTCATCAGACACTTTTAACTATTGGAACGCTGTTACCAAAGAGGATATCAGGTGACAGAATTATTGGACTTCTGTCCTATTTCGGTCGGGTTTGGTCCCAGGCTCGAGAAGATCATGTACGTCAGTGGACGGACGAGTGCGAAACACAATGGGATGCTGCTATAAAGAACAACGCGGCCATCCACGAAGTGTTCTTGAGATGTATTGATGAGGAGCTCGCTGGACGACTCAAAACACATCATGGCAATGGGTTATTAGATATCGGACAACTTTATGATTCCATCGGGTGGCTCCGCCTAGGACGGGCGGCACTCAGGTTGAATTTTCCAGCTGAGATTTTGGGATTAGAGATGTTGCAATGTATGTCGCCACGTTGTTTGAGGCAAGCTGGCACGTATTCCGAACCCTTTTCGCCTTGGCGATCAATAGTCCAATGACTACGTGCTGGCACACGTTTTGCCAAATGCACAACATATCATATTATGCATCGGCTCACCACCGTGCATATCGCCATGACGCAGAGGCTGTGGATTGACGATCTTAGCCAGTCAGTCAAAGGATCCAGGAAGTCGGTCATCAATCAACTCACCAATTGTCTGGTCGACACGTGCGAGGCCATGCG